TTACATTAATATTTATCATGTATCTTAGGGAGGGAGTATGAAAAATTTGGAACAAAAATGCTTAGGAGAAGGATGATTTTTTTGCTTGTTGTAATAATTCATGATTGCTCTGTGGTAAGGCTGCAGACCTTATTCATCACTCTTGAATTCTAGTTTCATGCCAGTGAAATGAGACTGATTTCCGCGAGTCTGGCATGAAGCTGGAATAACAAGGTGGTGAATCAGGCAGTATAATTCCTTTCTGAGAATCATGTGATGTAAACAAATACATTCAGATTCACATTTGGGGTTTGTAATGTCTCCAGCTTCTTCCAAAATAGATTATGTTTACCAGAATGCAAGTTTTAAAGAATTTTTGATCTGTGTAGCTTGTGAAAGGTGGTTTTATTTCATATTCTTATGGCTGTGCAGCTTGAAGTGGGTTCTTATAGTCTGTATGATCAGAGATTTTTGAATCAGATGCTGCTGTGTGCATCAGGAGGAAAACAATGATTGTTCTTTTCATTTTGTGGCTGACTTTGAGCACCATGAGGAAGGATTTGGTCTAACAAAGGAGATTGCAGCCCCTACTGTCAGTACTAGTAATGGCTACTTGAAAATTGAAGGTGGGAAATACAGGGTTGTTTAGAAAACTGATTTACCTGGGAAAAGAAATTTAAATTTAAATGAAATTTAAAGAGCAGATTCATTTGGCCTGCAGTATTTTAATGAAGTATGAAGAGCTGGTTGCAGACAGGAGCTAGCTGGGAAAAGCTGTGCTATGATCTCTGGGACAGAGGGACAGGAGGTCCCTTGGTGACAGCACTGTCAGCACAGAGTGGGACCTTGCCCAAGCTACACACCTGAGCTGCAAGCTCCTGACAGGGCAGACAGGCAGGCAAATGCCTCTGTGTATGGCAAATTCCTCTCTGCCCTATGTTTTCATTAATGCTTGCTGTACAAATCCCGTTATTAGTGCTCCCTGAAGGGGCAGGCAGTAATTTGGATGCTGATGAGCGAGTGGGATGCAGCAGCAGCAGCTCTCTCCTGTCAGCACTGTAGAGAGGAGGGAGCAGAGCTGCCACAGCAGCTGCACTCGGCAGCTAATGAGCTGCTCTGCAATGGGAATATTCTCAGAAACACAAACTCACTCCAGGAGGGCTTACCAGGATATTTCTTTGTAATTAAATGTAATGACATCTAAACCTGTAGTCAAGTTCTCATTGATAAACACTGGCAAATAAAATCCAGCAAGTGAAAAATCAAACAATTAGCTATGCAAGCATTTGTAGGATAGTCTTTTATGAATTTTTTCCTTTTCCCACCTCAGTGGTTTAGTAAAAAGCAATGAGATGCTAGCTGATGTGGCAATATGTAGTTAGGAGTCTGGCAAAAAGAAAACATTAAATACTGTTTGATCTTGTTATGTCTTCTAGAAGAAAGGAAAAGTGGTTGTGATAGCACAAAAAACAAATATTATGTCAGTCAATTTCTAAATCAGAGTTCAGTGAGCTTGTTTTATAAATACCAATGACTAATACAGATCGTGGTGGTCAAACACCAGTGAGGTAAACTGAAAGATCAAAAAATATTTATTTTCTTTTACTGATGGAAAAATTGAAATGTGAAATGACTGAAAGATAATTTTTAGAAAATTTCATCTTTTTCTGCCACTAAATGGCAGGAGAATGAAGGATTATTTTCTGGTCTTAGTTTCTAAAATTGCCTGAGTCCAAGCCTATCAACCCCATGTGATTTTTATCTGCTCAGCTATGTTTTCCCAAAGAAAATTCCAAATTATCTATGAGAAGCTTTCTCCAACAATTATACCAGCCTCTTACTGAGTTTCTTTTGTGTAAAAACTGGCCTCTCTGACCGTTCTGTTTCTCCAGTGCCTGACTGAAGCCCCACAGAAAAGGCTTTTACTTGCTCTTGCTGAGGGGAAAGCAGGCAGGGTACTTAGCTGGATGAGGTAAGCCTTTGCTGGATGAGACCTCTGCAGAGCCCACGGGTGACATCAGAGGGCAGCTCCTTTCAAACAGGTCACCTCTCACCCTGCATGGCTGCTCTGAGTGCATTAACATTGTCCAGGGGGACAAGCAGGGCAGATGAATTTTGATCTCACTCTAAAACAACCACAGAGCTTCCCCCAGCATGGACACGATGTTTGCACAGCAGGGCAGATCCGTGGAAGGAGGGATCTGCACCGCCAAGCAGATTTCATTCCAGCCACAATCAGCCTCCTTCCTCTGGGCTCCTCTCTGCCTTCAGATGAGGACAGGAGCTCAGCTCTTAGATCAGCTGGGCTGGAGGATGTGCCTAGTAAGACTGATGTAAAAACATGCTTTCATTAACTAATTTAAACTGTGTTATAAGGTAACTTTATAAAGCATTATAAGTTACACTGGAAAATGCCTCTGTCCAAGGAAGAGTGTTCACACAATTATTAATGTAATCCTTCAGTTAGATGAAGATGCCTCCAAGTTTATGGCCAGGCAGAGAACTCCTGACTGAGCTCCAGCCCACACTGCACTCCAGCTCTGCTCTCTGTCATCCCTAAATTTCCCCTTTTACTCTGGGTACAATGTTCCTGTCTCTTACTACAACTTCAGTTACTCACAAGCTCTTCTATCTTCCTTCCATGTTCCCCCTGCCTTTCTTTTCCCCCTCACCCTCTATACATAGAGGATTTGTTTGTTTATCCTCTCTGCCTTAGTCTATGGCATTCTGGGATTTAGGCTTCCCTTGTTCCCATTCTTTGTTGCCTCTCCTTAAAAATCTATATTCTTGACTGAATCTTATCCCTCAAAATACCTGTCAAAAATTAGCATATGTTCCTCCTTCTGTCCTCAAAAAGAAACTCGTGCCAAAATTGCCCAAACTTCATCCCCAGCCAGCTGTACCTTTTCCTTCATCTCACAACTCACCTGAAACACTTCATGGCTCCTGCCTGGAGTTTGTATCCTTCGGTTCCTCAGGTATCTCTGTTTATTGATTTGGAAAATAGTTTGTTTATGTGATTTTACAGGTTGTCCATATTATCTGATGCTTCTCATTGGCACTATTTGCCCTGTGGATATGAATGGTTTCTCTAACTCCATACAGGACCAATCCTTATTCCCAAAGCCGCCAATCATATAAAGGCTGCTGGGTGAAGGGAAGGGCTGTAAATGTTGCAGTTCTGACAATTTTAATGTCACATCACTCAGAACACTAAATGCGAGAGCCCAAAGGGTTGGAGTTGTGTACATTCTTGGGTTCGAGACCTGAAACACAACAAAGCTATTGATGTCAGTTTTTGTTCCTTATGCAAGCATCAGCTTGGGTTCCCAAAATATATTTTTAATCTGGGCAAATTTAGATTTTCAGGAAGGAATGGGACGTAACTTAGTCTTCATTGTTCTTTGCTGAAAGTCCCTGATTTATTCAAATTTCAGCATTTAAGCTAAATCCAGTATCCTGAATAATAAAAAAAGTTTAATGTTGACTAATTGATGTGTTGGTATGCAACCAATAAGAAAGGTTGCAAGCACATGAATAATCACCCTTTTAACCAGCCTGACCTCATACCCCAAAGTGTTTTATGGGCTGGAAGAGACACTTCTATACTGAAATAGACATTGCTATACTTATTTACAGGTAGGGAAGTCCAGGAGGAGATCAGTGACCTTGCCAAAGTTCACTCAAATGTCAATGGCAGGAAACTCCTGATTGTCTTGTCTAATTCTGTATCTGTGGGATCATGCTTTAGTAATCAGCCCTGTTTTCAACTACACTTTTTAACCCTGAGTATGAGTGATTTGAATATCTTTTAGAGAGAGATAATGGGAAATACTTATATTGAAAAATCTGGTAAATCAATTAATGTTTGCAAGATGCACAGAGACAATGGTAAAGAATGCAATAGAAAATGTGATAGATCCAGCTGCATGGACTGGCTTGTCCCCTCATGCACAGCACACCACAAGAGGCCAATATCTAGAGAATAAGTCAGATGAAATGATATTGCCTAGGCCTAATTCTTTGCTTAGACCTGTGGTTACAGATCTGTCCCACAGATCAGTGAAAATTACACACTGAAATCTGCTAGTGGAAAATTTTAGAAGTCCCATTGCAACGGTGAGAGATTGATGTCTATGTTTTTAATGATATTTTATTTTAGGACTCCAAACTGCTGTGTATCAAATATCCTGCATGATCTTTGTCAAATATTTGTGAAATCATCAGCAGAAGACAGATACATTCTGACCACATGAAGACAACGGCAGCCAAATAATTTAGCTCATACAAAAATTGGTTATGTGCCATGGTTAGGAAGAACCTTGAGCCTCCTCTATGTCATGAAATCATAGTTGTTCATACAGATTCTCAGAGGCACTTATTTTTAATAGAAGCCTCAAGTTCTGCCAATTCTGCCATACATATAGTCTAAAGCAAATTAAGGCAACAAAAGTAAAATATTTCAGGAAAAGTTTCAGTCTGGTAATGTCATAAATTTTTTAAGGTGAAAGATCACTCTTTGTTAAGCTTGGTTTTGTTAATTCTACATATTACTGCAAGGCACTTTTCATCACCAGTATTGATATATTAATAGCTTACCTGAGTCGAGGTTCTTGTTATTATTTGAGAGCAGTAGAACCCTTTGTGGGTTTGCTTCACACCATTTGCCAACTGTAGAAGAAAGCTCAGTGCCTGGACAAAGCAGTTCTGTACCCTGATACAGCCCCAGCTGCAGGGCCCTGCTGCCAGCCAGGACAAAGGACCTGCTGCTGAGGGAACTCCACTGCTCACTGTATTCACAGACAAAAATGGGAGTTAAGTGCTGCACATGCAGTGCTTATGTCTAAATGCTAATCAGGGCCTCTGGCTTTCTGAGACACACAAATAAGAAAGAAAAGCTGTAAATTAGAAGGTCAAGTTCTTATTTACAGCAGTGCTGTAGGTTCATGGCAGAGTTACAAATGTTAGCCCTGAGAAAGGTTTCTGTACTAACTTTTCTCTTTTCATATGTTTTTCTCTAGAAAAAGACGAGAAGAGAACAAACATCTCACAGGCAGAGGTAAGCGATTTTATTTTTTTTTAATATACTTTTTGTTAAAATAGTTATATTGCTAAAAACTCTTGGAAACTCACTGATTCATCCCAGTGGATACTTTTATTTATGTTGTCATGCCATCTGCAGCAACACAGCCTTTTAAGAACCATCATTTTCAAAGCAGGGCTGTGTAAAGCTGTAGAAGGGATCTGGGAGAGGCCAGCTTCCCCTCTGGCTGCTGCCATGCCCTGTCAAAGCACAGCACAGCCAAGGTGGCCCTGCCAGCTCACCCCACCCCAGCGATGCTGTGGATCTGCAGCTCACTGCTGGGCACAAACTCCTCTCCACTCTGCCCATCACTTGTCAAGCCTACAGCAGGCAGTGCAGTCATGTTGTCTGCACAAGAGTTGAAAGCTGGCTCCTCTGATCTCATCTTCTAACCTCCCCTTGCATGGTTCCTCCAATTCCCTGATCTCTTTCTCCTTCACCCACTGCTCAGAGCAGCACCTTAAATAGCAGCAGGGGATATCGATTGGTTCAAATTTGAACTCCAATGCAAACATGTAAAGATTTACTGGCATGAGGTTCACCAAGCTATCCCATAGTGTTTATAAATAGCTTTCTCTTTCCAAAGAAGAAAATATTTTATTTATAAATGTTATCATTCTATCCACTGTGATAAGCTAAGTTAATAGGATTAGCCCTACTCGTGTGAAACATGTCTCAAATGTTCCATGAAGAAATAGATCTGATTAAAATTCATGGTGTATATTAGGCATTTTTAGCAAATGTTTGGGTAAAGGCAACATCATTACTACAACTAGAAATTGATAAAATGAGAGGGGGAAAAAAGCTTGGTTAAACACAGTTTTTCCTTAACTTTTTGGTTAGGAGTGTGTTATGGTGCTTATGTCTTCCAAAGCTAGCAGAGGGTGTACTCTATGAGGATTTTTGTCCTTTTTATGTAGACGAAATTCATGTTGGTATAATATTGACACCAATTTAGCTGCTTTCATTTTGCAAAAGCTGCTCTGCTTTAGCGCTGAATATACTCCAGTTAATTTTTGTTAACTAAACATTGATAAAATGTAGTAATACCATTATTATTTTATGTGTATTGGTATAATAAAACAATACTATTATTACTCTATGTGAATTTTACTGCCATTATTTTGGAATAATTTATCTTTTGTGCATAGACGCAATTTTGGGGCCACACAAAGTTTTACTTAATACAGCATTCAAATGAGGCTCAGTTAAAGGCTGAGTGATTGGCTGCTGAAATTATTATCTTGGGTTTAATAGAACACATTGAAAAGGTACAGGGGAAGGGATTTTCCACTTATTTATATTAAAATGTGTATAGTAATATTTCAGTAGTACCTTACACATGCACATAATCACTGATTACACTGTAATTGGAATGTTGGGTAATGTAAACCTTGCAACTATTTTAATGTACATAGGAATTCATTTGCCTTAAGAGAATCAATTACACAGGCTGTTAAAAGCACAGGCTATCCTAATTTTATGTTTAACAATATTTGTATAGAGTGAAGGGTAATTTTCAGTAGTATTGGGTCTGTTTTGCCTGGGAGTCATAAAGGTTGTCCATTAAACACATGGTTTTGTCTTAGTTATCCTGTGTACGTGATAGCCCAGGAGCTGGTATCAGTGTGCACTGTATGTTTTCCTCAGAAGCTCTGTGAGGGCGCCCAGGTGGGTGCAAGGGAGCTGCCAGGAGCAGAAAGCTCTGTCTGTGCCGTGTCTCACTGCCCTCTCTGTCTGTCCCTGCAGTCGCAGAGCGCCTCTCCCAAGCAGAGGAAGCAGAGCGTCTTCACCCCTCCTGCCCTCAAAGGTACTGTCAGCTCCCCGGCCCTGCCCTGCCCTGCCTCGGGGCTGCCCTGCTGGGGGAACCAGGGCAGTGCCACAGGGCCCTGCCGGCCAGCACTGCCCTCACCCTCTGCTCCCGCTGCCCGGCACTGCCCACTGCCTGGGCTGACCAGCCCTCCAGCCTCAGCGCTGAATCCTGCTGCAGTTGCAAATTTGTTTGCTTGGGGAAAAAAAAAAAGAGTTTGTATGCTTTGATTAGCTTGCTATAACAGATAATTCAATGCCAAGCCATGAACAGAGCTTCTTGAATATGTAAATTCTATTGGTGCTGGCCCTGTAGAGTTTTCTGTTTCTTATATGCAACCACTCACCCATATTCTGCCTCTCATTTCCAGGCAGCCGTGAAAAGGAGAACAACCAAAACTGTGGTCTGGGTATGTGAGAGTAGGGTGTGTGAAGACTTTCTTGGGAAGATAAGGAAAAATGAGAAGTCTTGATAAAAGTTTTGAGGGATAACATACCTTTTAGGAATATATTCAAAAGCAGCAGGAATATCACCTGGGATCAAAATAGCCACGTTTAGGCCTTGCTTCTCATGTAGTTCTGAACAGAACTTGACTGGATGGTGATTGCGGTGAAGCAAGATCTGAAGTGATTCACCAGCACTTCTGACTGACACTTGTCAGAGCAGGATTATTTTCAGACTGCAGTCTAAAGGCCATCCTGCCAGGTGTCTCTTGATAGATAATGAATATGTAAATTTCCATTTGTCTGCTTAGGAGAGTTTATTACCTGGGATATCTGATTAGTTGTGTGAAATACTGCTGCTGTCACGAGGCAATCTACCACATCAGCCGGTTCTATGTATCTCATTCTGTAGCTGCGACTCTCTAGTACTTGTCCTCAAATAAAATAATGCTCAATATCACAGCTGCCACACAAGACTCTGTTTGCCAAAATAGGCTGAAGTTTTTATACTGGATATTAGAAATAATCTTATGACGTTCAATTTAATTTTTTTTTCTGGAAGGAAAATGCTTTGCATGGATAGCAATACCTATTGATCTCACTGCTGTATTATTCTGCTCTGCAAGCCTAAACTACGTGCTGTGCAAATGAAGTGCAGTGTAGAACAGGTCCTCATGGCTCCTCTCCTCTCTGCATGCCTCAGCACCCCTGGAAGTGTCCAAGGCCAGGTTGGTTGGGCCTCTGGGAAACCTGGTCTAGTGGGTGGTGTCCCTGTTCATGGAAGGGGGACTGGAATGAGGGGATCTTTAATGTCTTTTCCAACCCAAACCATTCTATGATTCTGTGATTCTATTCTTTGATATATATGGGGGCATATTTTTTCCTCCTGACATTGCACTTGTTAAACTAAAAATCAACATTATCTGTCTAAGATCATCCCCAAATATTTCAGTTTCATCATTATAGAAGCTTTCTCTAGCTCCAGGCTGGGTTGTGGCTGCTGCAGCAAGCTGTAGCAAACGTGGTGCAACAGGCAGGTTCTTATTACTGTATATCTCTGTGTACTTTGGCTCCTGCTTTTATTTTCCTAAACAAAAACACACCAGAGTTCCTACAGACAGAGCAAATAGCTGACTCATCTCAGAGCATTGTTCTTTTTACTGGAATACAGTGTGCTGGAAAAATCAATGTGAGAGCTATTGATTTAAGTAGTAATCTGGAGAGGGACTCAGCCAGCCAACCAGATAACAGCTGGGCATGGTGTGCTTCTTAGTGTTCTATTACCAAACCTAATGGATGTCAAAGAGGTTTTCCATTTTGCTTTCATAGATATTTCTTTCCTAACCTGCCTCACTAGTGTTGAATTCCATGCTGGTATGTAGCATGCAATGTTGCAAAATTCAGTATCTGAAGATTGCATCAAATGACTCCATTCTATTTTCTGTATATTGTGATTCACCTCTTGTCTTGTCATAGTTTTTTTTCTATGTTAAGTAGCAATCTTAACTGAGCATTCATCACCTATAGTTCCCCTCTTTGTGCCAGTTTTTCTTCTGTTACTCATGTGCTTTTATGCCTGAACTTCAAATTTTCTCATCCTTTAAGGTCTTCTTCAAGTGTGAAGGTTGGCTTGAACCTCCCTATGAAAAATACCATAAAAACAACCACAGGAATGTTTTGCAATTTGAATAGTCACCACTTTTGCCTTGGGCAATCTTTTCTAGTCAGTTCTCAATGTGTAAGACCTTTTTTTCCTATTTACTAATCTGCTTCTTGTTCTTCTTCTGCATGACAAAACCAAGAAGAATCCTTTGATCCTTTTCCAAAGTAGATGTCCAGTTGTTTTAGCACAAAGGTCCATCCACCCCTCAAAGTACAAACAGCATCTTTAGAAATGTCTTCATCATTCTGCTTGGTGGGCTAGAGGAGCCCCTGGAAGTCTTGCTGGAGGCTCATTTTTACCCTCACACTTGCCAGAGAACCCTTCCAGAGAGAGGGACCAAGAGAAGGCATCTTAGACTGCCAAAGGCAGAAGTGCAGGATTGCACTCACCCCAGGTAAAGGTGCTTCCTTGGTGTCTCATTACCACTTGAAAATCAGAAGAGCACCTTTGAGTCTCAGAGCTGCAGCTCTCCATGCCTTGTGCTCAGGCATGCTTTGTGCTCAGGCAGGTTTCCTTTCACCCAGGTAGTCATGTTTGCTTTGGTAGCTCAGCTCATCCTTGGAAGGAAATGCAGAGGGCAGTGGCAGGAAGTGAGGTTTACAAAGAATAACAGGAGACAGCCTGAGCTGTTCCCAAACCTGCATTGCTCCCTGGAGGTCCCAAATCCCACATTATCTCCCAGCTATTGCTATTAATACTAGTAGCTATTTAAACACCATCAAGGTCTCCCCCTGTGAAGGAAGTGCACGTTCCCAAGTGATTTGAGGATTTCATTAGCAGTGAGTCTACTAGCCTGGATGTGCTAGAGGGCAGGGAAATAGGAAAACTTCACTCATCTTAGTTCACTCTGCTAGAGGCTGTTCAGATCAGATCAAGATCCTGCTAACTTCAGCAGGCTTTAAAGAAAGTTACTGTAGCTGTCTGTGTTCACTGGACCACCTTTGCAATGAGGAGACATCAAATCCTAAGTCATTCCCCACACAAGTAAGAGATACATTTTACTGTTTTCTTTCTCAGCCTTTTGGGAAATAAATGCTTTAAATTCCTCTCTTAATGTATTTTTCTTTGCATAAAAACAAAGGTCTTTTCCTGAGCTAGGCCCCAGCTACAAGATTTGAAATGGGATTTAATCAGAGCTCTTATAAATCTAAGGAACATTCAAAGACATTATTTTGGTTTGAGTCATTAAAACAACCAGAACTCACTGGCTTTTCCCAAAGTGTTCAGACCCAGGGATTTGGTACATGCATAATTCTAGTACTTACAATGATGGTTGATATTAAATGAGCTCTTTCTAGCTCCTGCCATGAATTTCAGATGCTCTGCTTGTTTAGTGCCTGCTTGTTCTTCTCTCCAAAGGAAACAACATGCAGAATAAATGATTAAAATCATGATGTCCCTCCTGAAATATGTAATTTATTAGAAGCAATTAGTACAGTGTGTGGCCCTCATCCAAATTTGCAACCCCTTAGGCCAGCCTGACGATGTCTGATGCATCTCATTACTTTGTGACTGAAGGTTAACAACGAACGTGGGTAGAGTCTGGAGACATTAAAGATTATAGTTAGTATGGTAAGCACTGAGTTTGGAGCCCATGAGAATCATTGTGGAACAAAAATCTCAGGCTAAATTTACTTCAAGTGGCACAAGAATGAAGTTTCTAAGGCTTTAGCAGTCACTACACAAACTTGTATCTTTTTACATGGCAACCTCTGCAAAGAGCTTCCAGTGTTAACTAAGCACAGCAGTGTAAGAACACAAAACATCCCACTATTCTAGAAAGAAAAATACCGTCTTTTTTTGCTTCTGCTTCATACATGGGCTTAAATTTATTTTTTAGGAAATTAATATTAGCCTTAACATCAGGCATCTTACACAGACTTCTGAACTTCTGCCAGGCCTGCGAGAATTCACAAATTGAGCTGGTGCCCAGTCAAACTTTTCTTCTGTGGGTGAGTCACTGACTCAGCCTATTGCATTTTTCCAATTCTCCAATGATGATCCTTTTTCAAAGATGATTGTGCTGCACATCAGTCACGTGGCCAGAACAGGAGATGGAGATGGTTTTCCATTATCCTCTCAGTGCTGAGTGGTACTTTGGACCTCTTTCTTTTTCCAGTAGGCTAAATGGCTGTGATAACTACTGAGCAGGGGGCAAGGACTAGACTACTGCACAAAACCAGACAATGTCCAGTGGCTGGAGCAATTCCTGAGGTTGGGCAGTCTTCCTCTAACACCTTAGCAGAGCTGCCATGTCCCTGGAGAAACATCTGTTCTTTAGCCTGGTAGTACCAGCTCTCCTCCACATTCCTTTTAAGTAGAAAATGTCTCAGTAAGTTGTTTCTTGGGTAACAGAAGGCTAAGCTCTGCCTTGTTTTCATGTGCACTGCTCTGGTTTGTTCCTGTGTTGTGACAAAATGCCATCAATGCTCTTCATTTCCTGGGTGGAAGGCCCACAGCTGTCTGGACCTTCTGAAGAACAGGGAATAGAAGATTTATGATTCAGTTTTATATCATTGTGTTTTTTCCTTGTCCCTAACTCGGCCACAAGAAGTGCAGCTTTGTATCCCAAACTACTTGTTCTCATCATTTAAATACTGTTCTTATCCACATCTGTGTCAGTGCCCCTCAATACAACCACACCACTTGATGCAGAATGGCCTTGAATGAATTCCCTGGCTATCTTTACCAAGATGGTACCTTCTAGTATCTGGTCTCTTTCCCCCTCCTCTGTCCTTCCTCAGACTTGAACTGTAGGATGATGACAGTAGATACAATGAAGGAAAAAAAAAAAGTGAAATTAATTAGTGAATCACTGAGTTGGTGACAGGGATACATCAGACTGCTGCCATCTCGAGTTCAGCTGGCTGCCACTGCTATGGTACTGCCCAACA